TTTTTGTATTAGACCCGTCGTCCATTTATTTGTAATTCAATGATTTCATACTTACTTTGCTAGCCTTGGCCGGGAAGAAGTCTCACAATAAGTCCATTATATGACTAACTTCCCGTGTTCGTTTTTTGAAAGTAATGCAAACATTTCCGAGCATGTTTGCGAAAAACACCTTTTCAAATTCTAAAATTCAAATTTTTTTTTTCCTCTTATTTGTTCATTCATATCGGTTAGTAAACCAAAGGAAAACTTACACACCAATATTATAAATATGTACTAGGATTATAGTACACATGAAATTTGGACCGGCGCTCAAGGAATGAACCCCGGCAGAGGCCAGCAATGATACTCATGATGCCGTTAACGCTGCCACGCACTATGCGCATGATAGCGGCAAACTCGTCTACCTGTACATCGCCGAACATTCCCGACGCGATAAAGAATCGTAGTAACCGTCACAGCATCCTGAAGTGATCCATAGACTGTAGGTGGAAAAGGTTTGGCAGTAAGTTTTAAATATCGATAACTTAGGCGCCTAAACGTCGCGTTGCGGATACCAGCCCGTCACATCATACCATTATTTGACATAACTTAGTTTAGGAAATGAAACTATTTTTTCGGATTTAAATCGTTTGTTTTTTCAAACAAATATAAAATATAAAGTTTGTCATGGAAAATCTACACATTCAATCAAAATTGACAAACTCCAGTCCTTGCAAAAGAAGTCCGTTATCTACCTAGGATGTGCCAGAGAGGCCATTGAAATTACAAAACATCCTAATTTCAACAGGGAATATGGTTTCTCTGTACCACCAATTTGGGGTCCAATATTTCCTTTGATGAAAAATTTGAAACAGACATAGACTGCAGTACTTACTAATTAATATTAACAAATTATAATAAAGTATAACTACTTTATTCTAATTTCCATTATTAATTGATAATAAATTTAATTTAATAAAATAAATCATACTGTTAAAACAAAATTACTATAAAGTATTTGTAGCGTAAATTGGAATGTTTCTTCTAAAATTTAAAAATAAGGTATTTAATGAATAACTTTTGTAACTGTAGTGAAAAACAAGGTGGTTTGCATTAATATTAAACATAACTGGTTGATGACTCTACCACCTCAATCAACCGTGACCATAAGAACTGTAAAGGGGCCAAAACGTTGGTTTGTATGAAAAAGCAAATATAAGCGATTTAAATCCGGAAAGATAGTTTAATTTCTTATGTGTAACAATCGCGAAAACTTAAGAACTCGATATAATTTAGTTTATACAAGTGAAACGTGGTACGTAGAACTATTGTTTATAAAAAAGCCGCATGTGATCAAACATCAAAACTGCTTTTATCATATGAAGTTATAAAAATAATACGAACTACATGAAACAGATTATGTATATGTAACATGATATAACTATCCTGTTTAAACATAAAAAAGTAGCAGTAAAGCTCCTTGCGAAAGAGTTCGACCAGAAAATTTCACCGTATCTATTTCTGACGCCAAGCAGCAATGTGAGCAATATTGCGTTCCGGTTTTTAGGGATAGGCGCCCAGTTAACCGACGCGAAAGTTTTCGCGCGGCCGTCGCGCGGTAACCGCCCAGTTGCCATGCTTTCAAGTACATTAATGGCGATTCTGAATTCTATTTATTAGGCAACAGCATCTAAATTCCTCTGAATAATACAACCGCGGCCTACGCGCCACTGCGTAGACCAAAGAGAAGCCAGTCTCGCCCGCGCGCCCGGGATGCTCATTTAAGTTAAAACGTAAAAGCTAAATAAATAGAGCGTACTTTGATATTTAGACGCACGCGGCAGCCGCGCGGCATGAGCGCGATGAAATTCGTGTCGAATAAATGCGTCATAAGGGTGTGGTGACATTACAGGCACATGGAACTTGTCAATTTATGTCTTAAGGTGACGGGCGCAGTGGCAGTGCCCGCCGGATATTTGCGATTTAAAGTTCTCAGTGGCTCTGCAACTACTATAGATAGGCAGACGTCTTGTTCGTTCCGACCCTTATAATAAAAGTTATTGGACTAATTTCGTTTTTTTAAATTTATATAAATAATAGACACGCTTGGCAACAATCCTACCTGATGTTAAGCGACGATGTGTCCGACAATGGCACGCGTTTGCCTAAAAAATAACTACTAATCGCTCTAGTCTTGACTGGCCCCAAATTGTACTTTTCGGGAAACACAGATGGTAACCTACCACAAACTCGAATTTTTTTTCCCAAAATAAAGTTTGTCCGAATTTTCATTACACCGAAAACCGAATTATAACGAAACGGTTGTTCTTTTAGGATATGTTGGATGTTTTATCGCAAAGACACGATTAGGTTCGGTTAGGTTAGGTTAACTTGGGGCAGGCCCCACGTGAATTCTCGGTACGTCCTCGTCGTCTGCCCTGGACCCCATTCCACTTGGTGCGCGGTAACGCAGTGGCCAGTGGGTGGGTGACTAAATCCGAGACTTTCTGTACGTGCGGGCAATTGAGGTGTTTTTGTGTCTTGCGGTGGTGTTTTGTCGGCATAGTTCTTTCGAACAATGTCCTCGAAACCTGTCGGTTCCTCGGAGCCGAGTGGTCCTATTCAGGACAGGAGGTCCATTGAGGACATGGGCGAGGTTAGGCCCACAGTGGCCATCTCAGTCGAGGCGGACGATGGGTCCGTCGTCGACTTTGATGATTTGGAGGAAGTCGCGGCTGTCAAGGACAGCGAGCAGCGACGACGACTCGAAGAGCGGAGCCCAGTCGTTATACTGGAGGACATCCTGATTAGGCCGTCCCAGTCTTTTGCGCCCAAGAGCGCGCTCCAGAAGCGCGACAAGTTCGGACGCTTCCAGCGTTCCGAGGTGGAGTCGGTGACCGGAATGGACACTAAAAGCGCTTGTGGAAGCCGCAAAGCGGTCAAGCGACCCCCGGATGTGTCGCATTGCTCCGACTTCAGCGAGTCGGAAATAACTGCGGCGGCGCCGAAAATCAGCACCGCACGCAGGGGAGGAGGCCGCGCCGGGGCGGTAAAGAAGAAAGCCGCCTCAAACGAGGCGAAGAGATGCACGGCTGCAGAAGTGAAGGCATATGAGGCCTTCGCAACGAAGGGGCTCTCCGACCTCGACTGGGAGGACTCGGAGGCGGAAAGTTGGCACGGGGCGGCACCAAGGGCGGAAGCCCTTGCCGCCGACGTAAAACGAGCGGAGGCGATGGCGGAGGTGACGAGAATCCTCGCCGCGGTGAGCAAGTCCAGGAACCTCAAGGGTACCACCGCGGCCGAAATTAAGGATGCCCTATTTAAACTGGAGGCATCCATCGATTCTCTCGCCTCCAGGACTGTGACTGAGGAGACGAAGCGGCTTATGGCCAATAACGCTCGTCTCAGCAAGGAGGTAGACCTTATCAAGGCAGAGGTCATCGCCCTCCGGAAGGCGTTATCCGAGCGCCCTCGCCCCTCCGCCGCTGCCACTCCTGTTCTGCAGCAAGGAATTGGCGCGGACGTGGTAGAGGAGCTCAAACGTTCCTTGACCATCTCCATAGGGGAGATGGTCAATGCAAGGATTGCGAGCCTCGAGACGAGGCTCCCCCCAGCGCCGATTTTGCGGCCGCCTTTGGCGGCAGACAGACAGAGGGCGGCACTGACGCAGTCACAGGGAGCAGCGGTTCCGTCCGTCTGCCCTCCGGCAACATCGCGGACATACGCGGTGGCCGCTGGTGCACGTGTCACTGCATCAGCACAGGTTGCGCGCGCTGCACGCACCCCACAGCTGCTGATGCCAGTTCCCACGCCAGTACCGAGGGCGGCGCAGCCAGTCACGTCCAGGTGGGTGCCAGGGACAGGGCCGTCCGCCAGACCATTGGCGAAGCTGGTCTCGGTGCCTGCACCGAGGCCGGCAGCAAAGCCGGCCAGTTACAAGGCGACTCCGCGCGCCCCAACAGAGGCCGGAGCACCGCCACCGACGCCACAGTCAGAAGGGTGGACGCTGGTGGAAAGCGTCACTCAAAGGCGTCGTGAGAGAAGGAGGCGGCAGAGGGCAAGACAGGCAGCTGCGAAAGCGGCTGCCGCGCCCGCGACGACGAGGGCCCAGCCTAAGCCGAGGAAGGCCATTCCTCCTCCTCGGCCACGATCAACGGCTGTGGTTCTCACTCTGCAACCGGCGGCCTTAGAAAAGGGAGTCACGTACGCTCAGACGATCTCCCGTGCACGTCAAGCGTTCAATCTTCAGGAGCTGGAAATCGAAGACGTGCGTATCAGGGAGACCGCCACCGGGGCCCGCATTTTGGAGGTCCCGGGCGCTGCCAGCGATGAAAAGGCAGACCGCCTGGCCTCCAGGCTCCGGGAAGTGTTGGGCGACGACATTGCGGTGGCACGGCCCACAAAATGCGTGGAGCTGCGCATCTCCGACCTCGACGACTCCGTCGAGGCCGAGGAAGTGCGTGCGGCCGTGGTGGCGAAAGGGTCATGCTCCGTTGACCAGGTTCGGGTGGGCGCGATCGCCACCGGAGCGGACGGCCGCGGGGCAGTCGTCGTACGCTGCCCTATCGTCGTCGCCAAGGCGGTGGTCGCCACAAAGTTCCGGGTGGGGTGGAGCACTGCACACGTCAGGGTGCTTGAGCCATTGCCCATGCGGTGCTATCGCTGCATGGGCATCGGTCACGTAGGGCGTCGCTGCCCAGTGAGCTCGGACCGGAGCAATTTATGCTACCGGTGCGGCAAGCCAGGTCACCGGGCGGCTGGATGTCAGGCGGAGCCAAAGTGTGCCGTCTGCGCCGATCTTGGTCGGCCGGCGGCGCACATAATGGGAGGGAAGGCGTGTCGCCCTCCCCCAATGAAGGCTAAGGAGGCCCCAGGGAACCAGGCCTCCACCGCAGCGACGGTACCTGCGGCTGCGCCAGTGGAGGAAGTTGAGACGTCTATTGATGGACAGACTTGAACTCAACTTCCTCCAGACGAACCTGAACCACTGCGCTAGAGCACAGGACTTGTTCATGCAGTCCATGGCGCAGTGGTCAGTGGACGTTGCGGTAGCCGCGGACCCGTACTACGTTCCCAGGCATTCCAACTGGGCTGGGGACGTGGACGGCGTCGTGGCCATCGTCACGCCGTCGGCGGCTCCCCCTCTCGTCGTAAAAGAGAGGGGGGCCGGTTACGTGGTGGCAGTGTGCGGAGGAGGGGTGGCGGTAGTGGGCGTTTATTTTTCGCCCAACCGCCTAATGGTCGAGTTTGAGTCGTTCTTGTTGAGGCTCAGCTCGGCCGTGAGGAGGCTCGCCCCGGCGAATATTTTGGTAATGGGCGACCTCAATGCCAAATCGCCGGCTTGGGGCAGCCGCTTGCCTAACGCCAAGGGGCGAGCGGTGCATGCGTGGGTGACGGCCAACGGCCTGGTCGTCGCCAACCGCGGCACCGCCAACACCTGCGTGAGGAGGTGGGGGGGTTCCATCGTGGACATAACGTTCGCGACCCCCACCCTAGCCTCACAAGTGCAGGACTGGCGGGTGCTGGAGGGGGAGGAGACCCTTTCGGACCACGTATACATAAGGTTCAGGGTCTCCTCCTCGCAGGCGTCAACGACGGCGCCTGCACGGCGAGGGCGAGGGCGAGAGGGGTTTCCCCGTTGGGCCCTCGCCAAATTCGATGCCGAAAGGGCAACGGAGGCGGCTATCGTGGCCGCATGGGGTTTCCCCCCAAGTGGGTTCGAACGAGATGGCAGTCGGGTTCAGAAGGAATCTGACTGCCATCTGCGATGCCGCAATGCCCCGTACCGGCGGCAGGCCTCCCAACAAGAGGGAGGTCTACTGGTGGACGCACGAGCTCGCGCTTCTGCGATCCGCCAGCAACGCCGCGCGGAGGGCGCACAAGCGGTGTCGCAGAAGGCGTCACACGCCCCAGGAGGAGGAAATCCACCACGCCGCCTACAGGGCGGCGCAAGAGGAGCTCCGAGTCGGCATAAGCCGGGCCCAAGATCTGGCCCGGCAGGAGTTCCTAGCCACGTTGGATGGGGACCCCTGGGGGCGCCCGTACAAGATGGTGCGCAACAAGTTGCAGCACCGGGCGCCCCCCGCCGAGACGATGGAGACGGAGCTCCTCAATCAAGTGGTGGCTGGCCTGTTCCCGGAGGGGGATGAGAGTTTCTCTCCTCCCTCCATGACTCCGCCAATTGCGGAGCCGGAACAGGCCGATACAGTTCCTCCAGTCACACAGGAGGAACTAAAGGCGGCAGCGGACCGGCTCAGAGCCACAAGAAAGGCCCCCGGTCCGGACGGTGTGCCAGGGAAAGTCCTGGCACTTGCGTTAGAACACCTGGGAGAACGCGTATTGAAGCTCTTCGATGCCAGCTTGGCGTCGGGGAGCTTCCCCCAGGTGTGGAAGGAGGGCCGCCTTTGCCTCCTCCTGAAGGAAGGGCGTCCGGTCGAGTCCCCATCAGCGTATCGGCCCATCGTGCTGCTCGATGAGGCAGGTAAGCTTTTCGAGCGAGTGCTCGCTGCCCGCATCATCGAGCACCTCGACAGTGTGGGCCCCGATGTGTCGTCGCACCAGTTCGGATTTCGGGCTGGGCGTTCGACCATCGATGCGATAGCGGAGCTAAGGGGACAGGTGAGGAGGGCCAAGGCGGAGCGGGGGATTGTTGTGGCGGTGTCGTTGGACATCGCCAACGCGTTCAACAGTATCCCGTTCTCCGTCATCGAGGAGGCCCTAAAGTTCCACCGCCTGCCTCAATATCTGAGGCAGGTGGTGTCGAGCTACCTCACCGGGAGGAAGATCTCCTTCCTTGACCGGAACGGGGAGATGAGGGAGCGGAGCATGTGCCACGGGGTTCCACAGGGCTCGGTTCTGGGCCCGCTATTGTGGAACCTCGGATACGACTACGTGCTCCGAGGATCTCTCCCCGTTGGACTGGGTGTCATCTGCTACGCAGATGACACTCTAGTCTACGCCCGGGGGCGGGATTGGGGGGAAGCGTCGCGACTGGCCACGGAGGGAAGCGCCCTAGTGGTCAGCCGCATTGGGGAGCTGGAGCTCACGGTCGCCTTCGACAAAACAGAGGTCATAGCATTCTATGGCCTCCGTCGAGGGCCTCCGCCCGGCTCCTGGGTGGAGGTGGGAGGAAGGAGGGTCGGGGTGAGCCCTCATATAAAGTATCTTGGGCTCACCCTGGACAGCCGGTGGAACTTCAAAGAGCACTTCCACCGGCTGTCGCCGCGACTCGTGTCCGCCGCGGCGGCGCTTGGGCGCCTTATGCCAAACGTGGGGGGACCCAGCTCCCTATGTCGTCGGCTTTATGCTGGCGTCATACGGAGCATGGCCCTCTACGGGGCGCCCATCTGGGCAGAGGTCCTCACCACCAGACTGCGGCCGCTTCTGCGCAGACCGCAGAAGCTAATGGCGGTGAGGGCGATTCGGGCGTACCGGACGGTTTCCGGAGCGGCGGCATGCGCCCTGGCTGGATCCGCACCCTGGGAGCTCGAGGCGTCCGTCCTCGAGCAGACCTACAGGTGCCGTGCGGAAGCCAGGGCACGTGGAGAGCGCCCCACACTAGAGGAGCTAGTGGGGGTTCGGCGTGCCGCCAAGACCGCCGTCCAGGCGGGGTGGGAGGTGGCACTCCGATCGGCCAGATACGGGGAGCGCACCGTCCAGGCGCTGCTCCCTGTACTGGCCGATTGGAGAAAGAGGAGGCACGGGTCCCTCACCTACCGTCTTGTTCAGGTACTCACCGGACACGGCTGTTTCGGTGACTACCTGCACAAGATCGCACGGAGGGAGGTGACCCCGGAGTGTCACGAGTGCGGCGCTGCTACAGACTCGGCGAGGCACACCTTGGAGGTGTGCCCGACCTGGAGCCAGCAGCACCGGGATCTCGTAGAGGTGGTGGGACGAGACCTCTCACTGCCCAGCATAGTTAGAGCCATGCTGGGAAGCGAGAGGTCATGGCAGGCGATGGTCTCCTTCTGCGAGGACGTGATGTCGCAGAAGGAGACAGCCGAACGGGTCCGCGAAGACAGCGCCCTTTCGGACCCCATTCGGCGTCGGCGGAGAGGACGCACGCGACGGCTCTTCGCCGACCGCCTGCGTCCCATCAGCGGAGGCCAGCAGGGTGCGGGGTTGGGAGACCCTGCCCCTGCATTGCACAGGCCTCCGCCGCCGGTAGATGCCCCAAATGTTCCGGGGCATCTCCGTGTAGGTCGCCCCCCATGATTAAGGGGGCGATGGTGTAGGGGTCCGCCCAAAGGCGGACCAGCACCACCGGAGTCGCGGTAGCATCTGAAAGGGACCCCGCGGCTCCGGCGCCAGGTGCGCGCAGGAACATCGTGAGGTTTTTAGTGGGTATGCTCTTGGGGATCGACATAGTCCCCAGGAGAGAGTCCCACATATCCCCGCCGTCTCCCAGCGGCGGGGAATGCGTAACGCATTTTCCTCACGATA